TTACTAGATGAGTTTATATCACAACTCATGTGGTATTTGATGAGACACAATTCCCTTTCACCATTGAATCTCCTCCATCTCAACCTGATAACACTCCTTTTGCCATTTTACCTCCTACAATACCATTTCTATCTAGTGATTTGTCTCACTATCCAGTAGATACACCTATCTCAATACATACTGATTCCATTCCTATAACTGTTGATTCTATTTCCTTGAATGAACCTGCAATCGTTCCAATTTCTCCTTCACCTGAATCTGCTCCTATTAATGAGGTCCCCTGATTCCAGTCTAGCTCCACGTATGACAACAAGGTTGATGAGTGGCATCACTAAAAAGAAGGCTATTCTAAATCTAACTGCTGTCACAAAACCATATACATTCAATTAAGCTCTAAAGGATCCATATTGGACTAGAGCAATGGATCAAGAGATTGCAGCCCTTCATCACAATCACACATAGGACCTTGTTGCTAAGCCTTCTGATGTTAACATTATAGGATGCAAGTGGGTATACAAATTGAAGCACAAGCCAGACGGGAGCATTAACATGTATAAAGTTAGACTTGTGGTAAAAGGGTATCATCAAACACTTGGCCTTAATTACTTTGAGACATTCAGCCCAGTAGTCAAAGCTACAACTATCCGCATTATCCTCACCATTGCTCTTAGTTCTAAATAGAAAGTAAGACAACTTGATGTCCATAATGCATTTCTGAATGGTGAACTTGAGGAACAAGTCTACATGTCTCAACCTCTTGGCTATATGGACACCAAGTTTCCTACCAAAGTTTATCGATTGAGGAAAACTTTATATGGCTTGAAACAAGCTCCACGAGCTTGGTTCCAACGACTCAGCTCTGCTCTTTTGCAGTGGGGGTTCAGCACCTTCAGGACAGATAGCTCTATGTTCATTTTTAGTCAATCTACAACTTTGATTATTCTCATCTATGTAGATGATATCCTTATCACAGGCAGCTCACATATGCAGATAGCTTCACTTATTGCTAAACTGAATTCTGAATTTACATTGCTAGGTTTAGGAAGACTGACTTACTTCTTAGGTATTGAAGTCTCTTACCATGACAATTCTATACATCTCAGCCAAACAAAATACATTTCTGATTTACTGCACAGAACAGAAATGTTTGACACCAAACTCCTGGGGTTGTTGGACAAAATTTATCTAAATTTGATGGTGAGCCTATGGAAGATCCTTTTGGTTATCGCAGTTAAGTGGGAGCTCTACAATATCTCACAATTACTCGACTTGACATCGCCTTCGCTGTTAATAAAGCATGTCAGTTTATGCAACAACCGACTTCAGCATATTGGCTATCTGTCAAACGTATTTTTCAATACCTATATGGAACTATGCTTGATGGCTTACTCATAAGTTCCTCAAATTAGTTGACAATTGAAGGGTTCACCGATGCTGATTGGGGAGCTCAGCCTAACGATTGAAGAAGTGCTAGTGGTTACCTCATTTATCTAGGGGGTAATCTAATTTCTTGGTCCTCTACCAAGCAAAAATTAGTCTCTCGTAGTAGTGCAAAATCAGAGTATAGAGGACTTGTTCTGGCTATTGTAGAAATTATTTGGATTGAAGCCTTGATGCACGAACTATGTGTTCCTACCCCTGTTGTCCCTATAATCTGGTATGACAACATTAGTGCCTATTATATGGCCAAACATTTTGTGTTTCACGCATGAACCAAACACATAGAAATTGATCTACACTTCATTCATGATTAGGTTCTACAAGGGAAAATAGAATTACAATTCATTCCCATTAAAGACTAGCTTGCCAATCTCCTAAGTAAACATCTTACAAGCTCAAGGTTCTTGTTTCTCAAAACACAGCTGTGCCTCATTCTAAGACCCTTTCACTTGTAGGGGGATGATAAACTAGTGATAGAAGAAGAAGGATTGGTTGCGTGAAGGACTAGCTACAGAGCTGGAGAAGAAAGAAGGATTGGTTACGTTAGGATTGTTGTTAGTTGTTATAACTACCTGTAACATAATTGTAACTAATCCTAACTACTTTATAACTGCCAGCAACAGTTATAATAACTGTCATGACATTTGTCATGACAGTTACAATCTATGACTATATACATGCATGCGTATATATAAATGAAATACATAGAGAAAAATATAATCTTCAGAAAAGAAGAAGTCTCCTATTTCTATCTGTTACAATGTAAATGAAGAACTTGTTGTTATGTTAATTAGGTGTTATTGGATGTTCAGGCTACACAATACTTTAAATAGAATGCTATATTTTATCCAACTAATCAATGAAGTTGGTGTTTGGCATGCAGTGTCCATTACTTTTGCATGCACTCAAGAATTTGTGTGACTACACTTTTGATCTTATTTTGATAGTTCTCGTTTCCTAATATTTTCCTATTTTTTGTAAATTGTATTGAAATAGTTTCTGTTGTGATCCGGATGTGTAATGTTCTTTGCTTTCTAGAGATTTGGTGTCAAACAGAAGGAGAAAATTGCTTCATTCAAAACTTCAGTAGATGTTCTCACTCTCACTGCAACACCTATACCTCGGACACTTTATTTAGCTTTGACTAGATTTCAGGATGCGAGGTAACGTAATTGAGGCAAATGTGTAATGAGTTTGCTACCAGAGTAGATCCTGGATCCAACCATCTAGTTTAGTGTAATTGGACAATATTAAGTTTCTAAATAGCCAACCGCTGAACCATGTAAAATGTAAATTTAAAGTCAGTGATAGAAAGTCATTTCCCCTTAACATGAAATGTATCATTATGGATGAGCTTGCAATACTGACTGTGGTCTTTTATTGAAGTAGGATTTGGGGATCTTGTATTGTATAATTAAAATTCAGAAGTTTGGACAATCTAAAGTCTGTTATAGTATGGTACACATACATGCATAGTCATTGTAATAATTTTTTGGAGTTTTAGTTACCATTGTAGATTGGAAGCATACAATATTGAAATAGGATCCTTGTAGATGATGTAGGATCACCGTCCTATTAAGTTGAATGTGTTATAAAATGCTATTGCTATAGAAATATGTTTTGTTGGATATCTATTGTGAAAATAAATCCAGATAGGATGCAACCTAAATAATGATCTAAAGATATTAAAAATTACTATACTGTTTGAAGACTTGGATCTTTTCTTCCTTGAAATTTTTTTGAAACTACTGGTTAACTTATCTATAATTTGATAACCTTAATGATTTACTTACGTTTTTAGTTTAATTTAAACTCCACCTCCAGAAGGAGTTCCTATAAAGACTCATCTGTCGGCTTTCTGTAAAGAGAGGCTAATATCAACAATCACATATAAGGTGGACCGTGGTGGTCAAGTATTTTATGTCTTGCCTCGTATTAAAGGTATTGCATATGCCTTTTGATTTATTTATTTATTTTGAAGCAAAATAAATTTTAATCAGTCTCGAATCACATCTCTTCCCCTCTAAAGAGTGAATACATACCTTTCTCTTAAAGATGGACATGAGTGAATACTTAGACAAAGACTTCTCAATCTTGTTCTATTTACTATAAATAGAATTACTAGGTTAAACATGCACAATATACTATTGGTACTGCTAATAATCATATATAATCGCCTATTTGGTACATTACTCTATTCATCTATCATTTGCCTGGGCTGTATCAACGATAATGAATTTTATTCTTTGCACAACTTAGTATCAGCTGATTTGTTTGATACATTGCCAAACATTTTCATTTACAACTATCAACACAAAAAGTAAGAGAAAAAATTAAATATGAAAAAGTTTATTATTTGGCCATTTTCTATGGTTTTTTTTCCTAGCATGCTTCAAAAGTTGATTGATTCTCTCATTTTGATGATGTGGATATCTACATCATTCTTGCCTAACAGGGCTGAAAGAAGTGGAGGATTTCCTTGAACAATCATTTTCAAAGGTTGAAATAGTTGTTGCACATGGGCAAGTAATTTTTTATATAGGAAAATGTCATACGTTTAACTGGCAATCATCTTTGTGCAGGTATACTAAAGTACCCTAGACCACCCAAAGTTCCATGTTTAAATGTGTGTTACCATAGCTAGGTATAATTACTAAACTTCATTTAAAAAATTAAATTCCTTTCTTCCCTTCTGTTTTGAAAAACGAACCATGTTGTATTTGATTCTCCTTTATGAGTAAGCAACCTTCTATTAATTTCAAGTCCATGTTTTTTTTAAAAGAAAACCCTCTTTCTCCTCTCTTGTTAGACGATTGACATTTTAACTCTAGTGTTTCAGTTTGTTTAATTGTAATTCAATCAAGTGTTGTCTATTTTTCTTTTCTTTCATTTATGTTTTGATTTCACCAAAGTAAATTCCTTCCTTTTCTAAGATTGTTGCTGAGTTAGTAACAGCACATTGTCCACTACAGTTAATGGCTAATAACTAGGAAAGTTAATAAAATAATGTGTGAGACATTTTATTAAATACCTTGTGTGTTCGTGTTCTTCAATACTCAGCACTGTTGTTCTTGGTTGTGTATCCCTTCACCTACATAAAACACAGCAACACAATTCATATAAGTGGTATCAGAGCTCTCTTAAATCTTACAGGACCAAAACCCTTTTTTCAAAATCTCAAAAATGACATCCAACAACCTACTTTTAAACTCCCCCATTATTGTTCACTGGTGAAAACTACCACATTTGGTTAGTGAAGATGCAAGCCTTTCTTGAAGCTTATGATCTTTGGGAAATTGTTTTCGAAGACAAACCGGTAACTTCCTTACCAACAAATCCCACCGTAGCTCAAATCAAGTTTAGCAGTGAGGAAAAGGTAAACAAATCCAAGGCAAAATCAATCATTCAGAATTCTGTGGTAGAAAGCATTTTCTATAGAATTATAGTATGCAATTCAGCCAAAGAGGCTTAGAACAAACTAAAAGAAGAATACCAATGCAGTGACAGAATAAGGCAAATACAAATGCTGAATTTGAAGAGAGATTTTGAGGCATTTAACATGCAATATTATGAAATAATCTCCAAGTATTCTGATCGAGTTTCACTAATTATCAACAACATCAAATTACTTGGAGAAGACTTTCCTGACAGCAGGATTATGGAGAAGGTTCTTGTAACTCTTCTTGAGAGGTTTAAATCCAAAACCTCCTTTCTGGAAGAATCAAAGGACCTCAGTAAAATCTCATTAGGTGAACTAATGAGTGCTCTTCAAGCACAAGAGCAACGAAGAACAATCAGGCAAGACAGATTGACTGAAGGAGCCTTTTATGTGCAAAAACAACAAGTTGAAAAAGGAAAAAAGTCACTTAATCTGAGAATTAAAGGTAGAAATGAAGGAGATAGCACTAGTAAAGGTTCAAAATAGAAGAAGTTTTCTCCATGCACTCACTGCAAAAGAAACACACATTCAGAAAAATATTATTGGTGGAGGCCAGATGCAATTTATGGAAATTGCAAGCAATCAGGGCACATCACAAAGGTCTGCAAGTTTAAAAATTCAGACCCAAAACCTCAACAAGCTCACCTTGCGAATGAAGTTGATACATAAGAGGAGCAATTCTTTGCTGTCACTTATTTCTCAATAAATGATTCAACTGATACTTGACTTATTGATAATGGATGCACACATCATTTATGCAATGATGCTGGAATGTTTAAAACCCTTGATGAATCTTACAAATCCAAAGTAAAGGTTGGCAATAGAGAATTTCTGAAGGTCAAAGGCAGAGGGTCAGTAAATGTTCAAACAAGTTCAGGTATCAAAATTATTCTTGATGTGTTATTCATACCTGAAATCAATCAAAATTTGCTAAGTGTTGGACAAATGATGGAGAAAAACTATTCTCTTTAGTTTAAGGATCATAAATGCACTATCTTTGATCCTTTTAGAGAACAAGTGTTCTGTGTAAAGATAAAAAACAGAAGCTTTGTTGTTAACTAGGATAAAGTATCCAATCATGCATATGTGAGTGCTACTCAGGATGTTTCAAATCTTTAGCATAAAAGATTTGGACATTTCAATCAAAAGGGCTTGTCAATTCTGAAACAAAAGGAAGTGGTTGAAGCATTGCCTACATTGAATGGTGAGATTCAATTATGTGAAACATGTCAACTTAGCAAGTAATCAAGGCCACCATTTCCTAAAGGGTAAGCATGGAGAGCCAGCCAAAAGCTTCAGTTTATCCATACTGACGTGTATGGACCTATGAAGACAACCTCATTATGTGGTAACAAGTATTTCATTCTCTTTATTGATGATTATACTAGGATGTGTTGGGTGTATTTCATCAAATTTAAGAGTGAAGTATTTATAATTTTTCAAACATTCAAAGCTTTAGTTGAGAATCAAAGTGACATGCTAATTAAATGTTTAAGATCTGATAATGATACTGAAGATACCTCAAATCAGTTTCTTGAGTTTTGCAACAGTAGAGGCATTGTGCACCATTATACTACACCATACACATCACAACAGGACAGTAATAGAGATGGCTAGATGTCTCTCACTTGAAAAGAAAATGCCAAACAAATTATGAGTAGAGGCAGTCAATACCTCTGTTTACGTGCTGAGCCGACTTCCAACTAAAGTACTGGAAGACAAGACACCATATGAAGGCTGGAATGGTGTCAAACCTGCTGTAGATCATCTTTGGCAGCATATGCTATTATCATATAGCTAAGCCAAAAAGGAGCAAACTTGACAACAAAGCTCAGAAAGAAGTTCTTGTGGGCTATGGAATAACAATCAAAGGATACATAATCCTTTCCTTATAAATATCAAAGATAATTCTCAACAGAGATGTGAAGGTTGATGAAGCAACCACATGGGATTGGGAACATCAGAAAAATATGATTTTTGATAATTTATTCACCATTCAACCTCAGTTAGAAGCTAATGAATCAATGGATGACTTTCCAGTTAGAGGCATAAGATCACTAAAAGACATTCACCTAAGATGCAATATGACAATTCTAGAACCAACCAACTATACTGAAGCTCAAGAATTTCCAACATGGAGGAGAGCAATGGAGGCAAAAATGAAAATGTTTAACAAAAATACAATATGACAGCTGATTGAAAGGCCTAAGCATCATAAGGTGATAGGTGTAAGATGGGTTTTTAAAACAAAACTCAATCCAGATGGGTCAATATGCAAACACAAGGCTAGATTGGTGGTAAAGGGCTATGGTTAGCAATATGGTGTGGACTACCTAGAGACCTTTGCTCCAGTAGCAAGGTATGATAATATTAGACTTCTCATTGCACTTGTAGCACATAACTCTTGGCAGATTCACCAACTTGATGTCAAGTCTGCCTTCTTGAATGGATTTCTTGTTAAAGATAAAGAAGATCATATGTATCTACTTAAGAATGCCTTATATGGGTTGAAACAAGCTCCCCGAGCTTGGTATGACAGAATGGACACACATTTGCTTCAACTTGGGTTCAACAAAAGCCAAAATAAAGCAACTTTGTATGTGAAATCCTGTGGTAACCATTTCCTAATTGTATCTATTTATGTAGATGATATGCTCATCACATAAAGTGAACTTGGAATGATCCAAGAGTTCAAAGACAAAATGAAGAAGATGTTTGAGATGTCTAGCCTTGGAATGATGAATTACTTTCTTGGAATGGAAGTGATACTTTCTTGGAATGGAAGTGATGCAATCCAGCTATGGTATTTTTACATGCCAAAAGAAGTATGCTTCAGACATTCTAAAAAGATTCAAAATCCATGATTGTAAACCAGTAGGGACTCCTATGACAACAAGTATTAAACTTAGCAAGGATGATGAATATGAAAAAGTGGATGAAAGTTTGTATAAAGGCTTAATTGGCAGCCTTCAATATCTCACAACAAGAGGACCTGACATATTATTTGTTGTGAGTATTCTTTCAAGGTTTATACATTCTTCAAGGGAGACTCATTTCATTGCAACAAAAAGAATACTTAGATACATCAAAGGTACCATTGATCTTGGTATCTTTTATCAAAGATCATTAGAAGAGGCTATGGAACTAAGAGGCTATATTGACAGTGACTGGGGAGGCTGTGTTGATGATTTAAGAAGCACTTCAGGGTATTTATTCTCACTCAATTCAGGTGTCTTCACCTGGAGTTCAAAGAAGCAAGAGACAACAGCTCAATCCACTACAGAAGCAGAGTACATTGTTGCTGCCTCTGCTTTCAACCAAGCAATTTGGTTGAGGAAAATGTTAAAGGATTTGGGACATGAACAAGTTGAAGCTACTAAAATCATGTGTGATAACAGTTCTGCAGTATCAATTTCAAAGAATCCAGTCTTTCATGAACGTATAAAGCATATCAAAATCAAGTTTCATTTTATTAGAGAAGTTCAACAATTTAATGAAGTGATGCTGATTCATTGTTCTTCTGAAGAACAACTTGAAGATATATTTACCAAATCATTACCTAAAGAGAGATTCGAGACATTAAGACAAATGATTGGAACTTTTCGTCAAAATATCAAGGAGGAATGTTAGACAATTGACATTTTAACTTTAGTGTTTCAGTTTGTTTAATTATAATTCAATCAAGTGTTGTCTGTTTTTCTTTTCTTTCATTTCTGTTTTGATTTTTTCAAAGTAAATTCCTTGCTTTTCTAAGGTTGTTACTGAGTTAGTAGCAACACATTGTCCACTACAGTTAGTGGCTAATAACTAGGAAAGTTTGTTAAGTTTTTTCATGTATTTAAAGACATGCAATTAATAAAATAATGTGAGACATTTTATCAAATACCTTGTATATAGTTCTTGTTCTTCAATACTTAGCACTACTGTTCTTAGTTGTGTATCCCTTCACCTGCACAAAACACAGCAACATAATTCACATCATCTCTTAAGTTTAAAAATTATATTCGAAACTTCACGACTTAAATTAACTTATTTTATTAAATATGATTTTTCCTTATCTTAAATTTTCACACTTATTATTATTGTTGTTGTTGTTGTTGTTTAATGCTTGTCTCTAGGAATCATGTTTAGGTTACTTATTTATTTTATTGATGTTGTATTAGCATATAAGTATTTTGTTTGTCTTCATGATTTTTGCAAGTTGAGTGAGTTATAACTGCAGGAGCATGATTGCTAAGTGTCTTGAGAAGACACTTGTTTGCACTCACTTCATTAGGAAAGTTTAAGGTCAAGCTAGGTATCACCTTAACGAACCCTCCTCCAAGTCTTCCATGTCCAATCTCCTATTACATTGTGATTAGACCATTAACCCCAAGAGAAGCCACTGAAATTGAAGATACGAGGGAGGAGGAGGATGTGTGTGTTTCAGTTCAGTTGAAGAATTGGGACATGTGTTTTTTCGTCAGTAGTTAGAAGAGAAGATAGATAGCTAATCACTGGAGGTTTTGGAGAGGTTTTAAGATAGCCTCAAATGTTTGGCATGGTTAATATCATAGATTGACAAACACACATGCCATGTGTGACATTAGAGTTAATTATAACTTAGTCCCTATAGTTTAACATAAATGATTGATTGGTTCTTGTAGTTTCATATAACATAGTCTCTATAGTTTAATATAGTTAATTAATTAATCGTTGTAGTTTCTAACTAGTTGTGGCCCCTTACTCCATTTCAGGGTATTTTTTTGTTTTCCGCATAAAACATGATGTGCAAGTGCAGCAAATGCATTTCGAAGAAGAAAAACAAATTGGTGATAAACTAACAGGATTAAATAGATTGGTTTTATTTTAATTAAATAAAAAATAGATAATAATAATAATAAATAGATTAAATTAAAAAAATAATGAAGATAACCTGAAAAGAAAAATCCAAAAGTAGACAACAATGTAGCTTAATTTCCTGTTTATTAAATATACAATGATAAAATTGAATAAAAAAAATAAACTAAACAAAATCAAGTCAAGTCAACTAGAGCTAGCAAAACAAATTTGTAATCTTGATAATTAGGTTCAAGCCAACATAGTTATCTTATCAAATCCACTGTTTGGATTATGAGATTAGAATAACCTAATAAAAAATGAAATAACTCACAAAACTTTATTTTAAAAAAAAAATTCTCAACTCACACTAACTTTTTAAATATGTGACTCGAGTTATTAAATTAAAAGCACCCTATTTGAAAAAATCATGAAACTCATTTCTCAATTAATCAAATGTTGAAAAATTAAATTGAAAAAAAAATTTCAATTATATAAAAGAATTAAAAAAAAATAGTAATTAAAAAAATAAGAATTAAAATTGAAGCACAAAATAAATTTTATATTTGATTAAATAATAAAATTAAAAAAAAATTAATTTAACAAAAGAACAAAAAAAACAATAAAAAAATAAAAATAAAAATTGAAATAAAGTCATCCATATTATTTGTTTGGACAAATCATTATTTAGTTGTAATATACTCACATTTAATTGCTCAAAATAACCCATTATCACGGGCTCAACTACATCAACATCACTCGAAGATTGTAAGAGTCTCTTGCACACTAGTAATATATGCCAATAATTTTTTATTTTTTATATTTAATTAAATATCAAATTACTTTTAAATTAATCTGAGAATAATAATAAAAAATATATTATAAAAGAATTAAAAACCTGTTAATATTAGTTTTAATTTTTTTGCTTTTAAAGATATTTAAATTATTTTATTATATTTTTTATTTTTTTATTCGATCAAATATCAAATTACCCTCATATAAAAATATAAAAAACCTATTATTATATCATCTTTTAAATGCATATTTTATTAACAAAATTATTTACGATATCTCAATTTTATATCCAGATTATTAGATCATCAGTCAACTCTAAAACAATATCTTTTCAATTTTTTTTAATGAAATGATATTGTTTTGGATAAAAAAAAAAAAACCAAACTTTGCAAATTTAATCTTCTTTCTATTATCATTTGGTTATTCCTCATGGAAAAACCGTGCTAACTCATCAGATGAAGACGTCCGCGGAAGGCTATCTGTACAGAAGGAAAGCTGTTTCATGGAACAACTGCTATAAGATAACGCTAACCCATACATATACTTTAATGTCGTCTGTTCCAGAACCATGGCCAGCATCGACCACCTCTACATCCACCCTTTCAAAGTATGACCAGCTGGGGTTAAATGGACGATAACGTCCAGGTGATTACACATAGTATATCATGCCAACTTCAATAAGGCTGATGTGAGGAATGTTCAGTGCCACAGCCGGGCCCCTGCAATTCTTCCGAAGAAATGAATACCCAATATCAATAGCTAGTTTTTTAAGGAAAGAGGAAGTTCTCCTAGCCTTCACATATGAATGCCCCATTATGTAGGCTGCCCCTGCTTCCTTCGCCTGGATCAGATCCATCAGCTCTTCCCTGACTGCAGGATCCATCCCGGGATTTGATGGCAGCTGAAACCTGACATGGCACCTTCTGATATGAAGATTGTCATCGTCGTAAGCAGATTG